CCTCTCACTGTCCAAGTGCCTGGCTAGAGCTGCGTGTTCCTCAGCACTGCTGGGCAAAACTCTGGTCCCAGGAGCCCACCTGAGGAAAATGCAGTGCTCCACAGGATTTACTGTGTGGAGATGATAGGTTTAACAGCAATATAATATCCAATGATACTGGGAAAACACAGCTGGGCACAGTTTTATAATGATCATAGGGAATGTCCATATCCTTTTCCCCAAAACTGAGTGGTGAGGGTGCAGCTGAACCAGGGAATTAACTAGGTTTTGGAAAACTGGTGCTGTCCACGTGTTTATGAAGAGCAGAAAAAAGAGATAAGCATGGCAACAGGAGAATTAGCTCCTGGGGGCTGACTCTACCAGGTGTAGGATGCTCTGGTCAGGTGTAAGACTGGCTGCAACATTTTGGGATATTTTGCGAGGTGATGCTGCAGACGCTGTGAAACAGGGGATGCACAGATCAAATATAGGGGTCAGTGCCATTAGAAAGGTCTGAGAACATTCCATGCCATTATATCCCATGCCATGCCATCCTTCTGTGTCAAAGGGGCACAGCTCTCCTGAGGTCCCTTGTCATCTCACTACCCCCATGGGGATGTCTTCATATCCTCAAGCACCTCAGCTGGCCCAAAATACAACAGAGCTAGGAAGCTTTAAAGTCACACAGAGCTAAGCTCACCAACAGGGCCCTCAGCCACACACCATGGCTGCATGGTTACAGACATCTCCTCATCCAAATCCTACCCTGGCACTGCTGTCCTTTATCAGGATAACCCCCAAAATCTCTGCAGTTGAAATTGCACCAGTCCTTCACCCATTAATTCTTGCTCACTCACAGGTTAAAGTGATGGATATTTGGGAGTGTGGCTACAAGAGGCCCTGTTGCCTCCTGACAGCCATTCAGCCTTAATTACCAGAGAGCACTTTGGGATGCTTTGACTATGAAAAGCACTTAGGTACCATTAAGTTTCCATTTCTATTTACTCCAAAGTAGTAGCCAAGTATTTATTTCCAGGGAAATGTAATAGATAATATTTTCCTTTGCAGAGGATCTCAGGGGAGCAGGTTTATTTTGGAGGGAGATCCTTGTATGTTATTAATTCTGTAATGTTTTAGCCCAGTGCATGGCTCATGTGGTCTGCAGGGAATCTCAAGTCTTTCATCCTTCTCAACTGGGCTGACTAAAAGCCTCTGCACTTTTGGCAGAATATTTCAGCTGTGTGATTGCAGATATTCCAGTTTTGGTGGGTTTCATGCATCTATTGATGTAATGGAGTCAGGCATGTCCAGCACATTTTGTCCTCACTCAGCTTCCCTGGTAAAAAAAATAGAGGTGCATCCGTGGAGGGGGTTTGACCATTTATTTTCTGGAGATGGTTTCACCCAGCTGAAGCCAAGTCAAGCCTCAGGACACCCCCATCTCTCCTCCAAACCCCAGCGGGCCATTTAAGATGTATTTTATTTTCTTTTCCTATGATATCTCAGTGAGATACGTGGTGTGTCTGGTCCCACAGAGGAGGACAAGCCTTGGCCAGCTGAGAGGCTGGGAGGAGGAGGCAGCTGCCCAGTAGATGGCAATACTGCCATTTATTCAGCAGCAGGCTGGGAGGAGTAAAGCAAGCTGCTGGGACTGTGTGGATTTAGCAGCCCTGGAAACTCCTAATGGTTGTAGCTGTGAAGGAGAATCATAGAATCATCTCCTGGTTTCGGCTGAAAGGGACCTTAAAGATTATTCAGTTCCCACCCCCTGCCATGAGCAGGGACACCTTGCACTAGACCAAGTTGTTCAGATCTTTGTACAACCTGGCCTTGGACACTTCCAGGGATGAGAATTCCAGAACTGCTCTGGACAGCGTCTAACCCAATCTTTCAGTTGAAAGCCCTTTTCATTTTAAAGCCATTGCTCCTTGTCCCATCACTCCATCCCTTGTCCCCAGTCCCTCTCCAGCTCTCCTGTAGCACCTTTAGGATCTTGGAAGGGGCTCTAAGGACTCTCTGGAGTCNCAACCTGGCCTTGGACACTTCCAGGGATGGGAATTCCAGAACTGCTCTGGACAGCGTCTCACTATCCTCACAGGGAAGAATTTCTTTCCTCTATCTAATCCAATCTTTCAGTTGAAAGCCATTCTCCTTTTCATTTTAAAGCCATTGCTCCGTGTCCCATCACTCCATCCCTTGTCCCCAGTCCCTCTCCAGCTCTCCTGTAGCACCTTTAGGATCTTGGAAGGGGCTCTAAGGACTCTCTGGAGTCTTCCCTTCTCCAGGTGAACACCCTCAGCTCTCCCAGCCTGTTTCCAGAGCTGAGGGGCTCCGGCTCTCAGAGCATCCTCATGGCCTGGAAGCAGAGTTTATCACAGCTCCTCTGCCAAGAGGAGTTTACATTTCCCTTCAAGTGTGAGGCCAGAGAAGCCCTGCAGGAATTTCCGGGCTGGTTGGAGATGGAACCTCTGCACTCTGCTTTTACAGAGCTGTACCTTGGAAGGGTTAAACCAGCTGCGAGCCACGACTTTGCCGTCCTTGTCAGGGCTTTCAGCAGCCGGCTGTGCGCCACAGACCTGTCCCAGCCCGGTGACATCCCGCCCCGCCTGGCACCAGGCAGTGCTGCTCCTTCCCATCCCCGGCCACCGGCGATTCACCGACCCCAAATTAACCCGTCCGCGCACTGCCCGCCTTGCTTAGGGCTTCACCACCCTCTTTATTCCCATTTATTTATTCCCATTTATTTTCTTTTTCTGTCCCCGCACTCATTCATGACTCATCGCTCGCTTTCGTTTCGTCCCGAGTGGCAGCTCGAGTGGGGCTGCGTGTGCGGCCACCGGCGCAGGGAGCATCCCGTCCTCTCTCGTCCCGGAAAAGGGATGAGTCATGCGGCGACCCGGGGACGCGGGGACGGGGACAGGCTGTGACGCCAGGCTCGGTGACTCCAGACCTGGCGCCGTGCGGGAATGACAGTCCCGAGGACTTCTCTCGCCAAGAACAGCTATAAAATGACGGAGAGGGTGGACTTTAACTCCGTCAGAGGAAAAGAAAGCAAAACAAACAAACCAGGAGCTGCAGGGCAAGGTGAGGGCAGGGGTGTTGGCTCTGCAGCACTGAAGGCATGCACAGGGTCTTGTGCTTGCCTTGGAGGCAAGAGATTTGGGGGAAAATCTTTTCTTGTCACTTGTCTGGGTGATAAAATGAAAAAGGCAGGTTTAGAAAGCGTGTCTGAGCAGCGTGACACTGCAGTGGGTAAAGGTGTCAGATCTTCTGCAGAGGCATTGAAAGCATCCCAGGTGATGCATTCCTGGGGCTTCGAGACCAGTGTCACTGCAACAGGCTCTGCCCATCCAACAGCATTTTCCATGGAATTCAGCAAAAGTTTGCCAGAGCTGAGGCTTTAACTCAGACCTGGAGGTCAGCTTGACTTTCCCAGGGAAAAGGCTCTGCAGAACTGCATGTTCCCATTTGAGTTTTGGTCTATCACTGATATGGGATGGGGAAAAAAAAAAACAAAAACCCAAGGTCCTGCATCTGGTTGAGGGCAATCCCAAACAGAAACATAGGTTTGGTGGAGAATGGATCTAGAGCAGCCCTAGGGAGAAGGACTTGGGGATGTTGAGTGATGAAAGGCTGGACACAATCTGGCAATGTGCACTGGCAGCCCAGGAAGCCCCAACCACATTCTGGGCTGCATCCAAAGCAGCGTGCCTAAAGGAGCTGGAGAGGAACTTTGGACAAGGGCAGAGTGATAGGACAGGGAAGCTGGCTTTAAACTGACAGAGGGCAAGTTTACATTAGATATTAGGAAGAAATTAATTACTCTGAGAGTGGCAAAGCCCTGGCACAATTTTTCCAGAGAAGCTGTGAATGCCCCATCCCTGGAACAGTTCAAAGCCAAGCTGGATGAGGCTCAGAGCAACGTGGTGAAGTGAAAAGCATCGGGAGAGGGGTTGAACTAGGTGGTCTTTAATATAATCCCTTCCAACCCAAAGCATTCTAGGATTCTGTGAATCCCCATGGGCGTGCCCATGCCAGAGGCTGGCTAATGGGATGCAGCACCTTGGAGTTGTTTCAGCACTGTCCCTCGGGCTGATGGATCCTCTGGTCATGTTGTCTTGTGCCAGGGCACGACTCAAACTCATCACTGTGAGCCAAAATCCCACCAATGCTG